ATTTTCTTTCAACTTTTATTTTTTTGCACATTCTGCTCGTCAGACAGGCACTGTACGTTCCTCATCGGAGCCTTTTAGTTTGAGACAACAAGGAAACCCCCAATGAGGAAAGCAAAGTGATAGGGTGCTTCCGATCAAAGCACAGGCGTGGAATGTAACTTTAAGTACCGAGAAATCACGTCAAAGCAACGCGAGCGATTCAATCGCGAGATTCGAGTGGCTGGAAGCGCTCCACAGCTTACAACTGAACCGGTGGAATTGTGATCTCAGTCGAATTCACATTCTTCTCATCTGCACCAGCAGTCCAACGATTAGCAGTGAAGCGTACTCGAAAGCTCAAGCCGCGAAGTGTGGACAGCCTAAAGGCAGAAGACACGATTGCTGGCGCGTTGGCCACCCAAGTGGCAAGCCCCCTGCTCGCAGTCCTGCCACGAATGACACAAGCAGCGACCGCCCGGCTCCAGCAACTGCCTTTCAAGGATTTTAGGAGAAAAGTATATGTAATTCCATGCATTTATCTATGGTCTGATTCAAACTGAAGACCTGAGCTTCAGGATCTGAGAAAGTCAAATTTAAGAAATCGGAAAATGGTTCACACTAACCTGTCAAAGTTCGGACAGCATTCCCTGAGTTTTGTACATTTTTCCTGAATGAGGTTCGCATCACGGAAACAAGCAGATGATTCTTTATAATCCTCGCTAAGTAGTCGGATGAATGCTGATCCATACATGAGGTGCTTCACAGGGGAGTACGGTAGACAGACTGATGTCTCGAACTGCAAATACAGTACGTTGCTCGTGCCTTTGAAAACGGTTGGAGGAAACTTACGAATTTTCTCGTTCTTCTTGTCAAGGCAGTCACGAAGTCGGGTGTTTCGTTTGATCATCATCTCATAGAGCTCCTCGTAGAAGGGCTGTTCCGCTGGATCGCACAGTTCCTCAGCCTTACAATGAAATTCAGTAAGAATGTTATGATTACATCAATTTTTCCCCGTAAGTATTGCGACCTATTCCATTATGGAGCCCATTTCACGCTGGCCGTAACGGGGAAGCTGAGCCTTCTTCAAGGCTCCTCCCACACGGCCAGCGTGGAAAGCATACTCTATGCTGGTTGCCTGGCTCCACCCATGCAACCAGCAAGGAATATCATGCATTCAAACACCTCTCAGATGCTAAAGGGTATTGGAATGAAGAAAAATAGTGTTGGAAACTCATAAAGAGAAGGAATGTCTCCCCAAACTTATATGTGTCGGGGGTCTAATTTTGGCCAGTTTCGGAGGTTAAGAAGTATATCAAGCAGCCACGTACAGTCTTGCTCGCTATGAATGTTGGGGCGATTAAGGGGGAGGGGCTGTGTTCAAAGCGGTGCCACTTTATTTTCCACCGACTGTGATCATTTTTCAGCTTCTACTGTTGACCGAGGATGGGCTGGCGCCGGCCAAACACGCTCCCTCCCCTCCTGACACGCCCCAGCATCCGCAGCGAACAAGACTGTACGCTGCGATCCCTCTGGGTTGGGCCCCAAATTACTAAATCTTCGTTAGTGGAAAAGGGTACTGAAACTGTAATCTTACCCGATAAAGCAAACTCTCAGCACTTTCGACCAGGCTGGGTAGAATTTTACTACTGGCAAACCGCCAAGCGCAACTGTCGACGGCCATGTGCATCTGATTACGACATCGCATATACAAATCACACGCAGTCTCGTTTCTCTGAAAAGTAGGAGCCTCTGAATTTCATCCGTTCAGGGTCCGGTATTGGGTGTATTATTCCATTTTGCTTATTTCGACAAAAAACAAAAAAAACAGAGTTATTTCCAAGAGTACTTGGGAATATTTCAAATACAAAGGCAAAAGAACTTACTAGTCCTGATGAAGTTGCATTGATATGATGTTCTTTTTTATATTTTTCCAATTCGCGTTTATACTCGTCGTTTGACCATTGCTCAATGATTGCGTCGTCTCGAGTCGGGTCAGCGATTTTGGAGTCTTTCTCGATACTAGTTGAAGGATGGTCGACATTCAGCGAGTCTTCACCAGAAACCAACAGCTTATTCACTCCATCTGGAATATATACAAAAAAATTTTTTCCACATCTTAGGTCTGCCATGGATGGTGGGTGATAACGTAGAAAGTCGAGGCTTCGATCACATAAGGGCCAGGACACGTACGTGGAAGATCCCCTGAGATTGAGGTCGTATTTGTCCGCTGGAGGGGAGGGAAGAGAAGGAGTATTTGCGGAGAAAAATGTTCTTGGTTGTTGTGTATTATTGACTTCTCCCGGTTTATCGGGTTTCACGTGGCTTATTCCCCATCCTCGAGCGATGGGAGTTGGAAAAGGAACTCCGAGAAGTGGTAGGAAGCCCCAAAATTCAGAAAGATTATAGCTACGATGGTGGATGGGGAAGCGGTGGTTTCATACCAAAGGAAGAAGTTTTGAGGGATCGTATTTCGCAATAATTTTCCTCAACAGCCCGTCGTGTTCGATAAGAACATTCAGCAATAACAATATGGACGCAATCTGCCTCAGCAAGCAGGGCACGTCTCGGGGATCCCCGGCGAGGGGCAAGGGGCGTATTTAGTGGCTGGAGGGTGATGTGATAAAAATTGCTTTTGGAAATAATGTATTCGGTTGCTTACTTCTCTCGGTTTTCCTGTTCCAAGTGAGCTAACTTCCCCTTCTTCTTCCCTCTCCCCGTCCTGCTGGACCGTTCGAGGCTCGATGAAAGTTTTGTTTTTTTTGGGGAGCAACTGGATAATTTTCAGACAAATCTAGGAAAAGTTGTAGAATGTTGGGAGAATTTAGGGGAATGATATATAGAGTTGAGAACGAAAGGAAGAGGCCGCAGCAGCAGATGAGGAATTTCTGAAGAAAATTTAATTTCCCGCAACGGCACGACGATCCTTTCAGCTAGGCAGGATCAAAGGGTACAAGGTAGAATCGAGAGAATGAGATCCCCGCCCATTTTTTTTTTACCAAGCATCCTTGCCGTTGCCGCTCCGGTGTTCTGAGTAGGGTCAATGCATTAGCAGTTTACACTGCAGATGCCGCGGCGAATGGAGTGGCGCTGCTGCGTACCACTCGAAACATGTCAATAAGGATGCTTGTACGTGGATAATCTCCATTTTACAAGCGCTGTCCTGCCTGTACTTGACAAAGTCATGGTTGGAGTTGTTCTGGAAGTGCAATATCCTTCCTGAAGCGTAACTGCCGCCACATAGTGATGCACGCACCCACGGATACATATTAGGGACCAGCAATGCGGCGAATCGACCAAACACTCGAATGCGACAAAGAAGTGTCTCTGCACTACACATGACGCTATATAGATATATAGTATACATTTAATCATCTAAATATTATAGGAGAAATCATACTACATATTGTGAAGCTCACCTTCAACAATAAAAGCGGTCTTCATGCTCGTCCTGCTTGGTTACATTCTTACGGTGCAGCCTGCGTTCCTTTGCCAGTCTCTCTGTAATGGAGGACAAACTGAAGGATTTCCTGGAATTTGGGTGATAGTTCGAGTGCTTCAATAACGCGTTCATCCTTTTTCCCTGCTATCTTTTTTGTTTTGGGAGGGGCATTTTGCAGCACCTTTATTAGTTTATCTTAGTTAATAAGACTCATTTTGGTGGGAACTGCTAATTCTCATGAAGCTGCGGAGGGGTCTTTGGTTAACAAGTGAAGAAACCTTCACATGGTAGCTCATACAAGCCTTGCTGAGTACCCCTCCCTACCCGCCCCCCCCCTGAAGCCAATGCACCCAGTTTTGTTCCAGGATATGCTATATAATAAAGCTTATGCCTCCGAGTCACTCAAGCTTATTGCGCTGGATTTTTGCTTTTTCGATTTCCCGGTCACTAGTTAAGGGGTCATCACACTACAATTTCTGTGACGCGCTGCAACAGCTCGCATCTGGTCCTCACTATCACCGATGTTGTGAAATATATCGATTCCACAGGATTCGATGGAAGGTGCAAAATGAAACTTACCAGCCTCGAGTTTTTCTTGTTGACGTATTTCTTCTTCCATGAGTTCGCTCACCTCCAAAGGATCACATTCTTTTTCGAAAACTTCGGCATCGTCATCCGGATATTCACTGGAGTCAAATGCTGGAATGAAACAGTGGAAACAGTGAGACAGAAAAAGGGCGTCAGTGTGAATACTTACGGAAAGTAAAAATAAAATAATAATATAATAATAATGAAAATACTTCTCATGCGAG